TACAGGACAATACTGTTCAGTTTCTTTATGGGCCAGGTCTCCTAAGCTTTAATGTTTACACAGAAGCAACCTTGAGAGGTGCACATTCAAGCTTAGGAGACCTGGCCCATAAAGAAACTGAACAGTATTGTCCTGTAAAGACTGGATCCTGTGGACCTCTGTATTTTCCCAAGATGTGTGTATAGATTCATTTTCCCATGTATTTTCCCATGATGGATTATATGTATAGATTCATTACTGATTACATGCGCATTTCACTTTGTTGAAGTCTCCTTTTGGATATACGTTTGCGGGTAATTCAGCTCACAGGTTGTTGTTTTTTTGTTCCTTGCCAGGAATCAGGCTTGCCAATCTCCAGGCGGGGGCCAAGGTCCTCCTGGAGTTACACCTGATCTCCAGAATGGATCAAACGGCAGCTCAGAGAGCGGACTGCACGGCATCGCATCCTCGCTGAGCTCCTTCCTCAAACTCTGTCCCTTCCCAGGAACTGCTCCCAGACCTCCAGGAATGTCCCAAGCTGGAGTCGGCAACCCTGCTTAGGAATGGTTCCGGTTGCAAGACAGGACATGGTCTCCGATAAAGGGCTTTATTTTGCCGAGAGCCTGCAGGGCCATCCGTTTCTTCATTTAGGTGTCCCCCACTAGGGTTGCCAAGTCGGGTGTTGCGCCGCAGCGGGGGACTCCCGGATGGCGTCTGGAAGTGACGTGACGCCGCCGGGCATGCTGGGGGCGGGGCCACGACCATCCGAGGGAAAACCACAGAGTTTCCCCTCGGATGACCGGCCCCCGCCCCCAGCGCGGTCGCATCACTTCCGGGTGACGCGCACGTCAGGGTGGGGCTCCCCCCAGGGCCCGATCCGCCGGCGGTGGGGAACGGGCCTCTGGGGCAGGGTTTTCCCCGCCCCCCGGGGGGACTTGGCAAGCCTAGTCCCCGCTAGGGGACGGGGAAAGGTTGTGCATCTAATCTCAGGGGAAGCCCTTCGAAACCAGCTCTTCTGCTCTACAAACCCAGGGCTATTTTTGGGCAGGAACGCACAGGAACGGAGTTCTGGCTGGCTTCAGAGTTGACCACACCCACTACAGCCAAAACCTCTCCGTGCGTGGCTACAGAGGGAAGGCCTGGAGAGCGACATACACACCCCCGGCGACTCCGAGGTGGGCGGGCCAGGGGGGCCCCTGAAAGCATTGAGGAGGCATTTAAATGCCTCCCCGTGCCTTCCCCGGCCTGTCTGAGGGCCAGCTTGCCTGGGCTCTCCACAGCTGTGGGGCGCCCGGGCAAGCCAAGGGAAGGCAGTTTAAACTGCCTTCCCTTCACGTGGGGGGGCTTGCCCGGGCAAGCCAAGGGATGGGGTATGCTGTGCTGTCAGAGGTGTGGCCTAATATGCTAATGTGTTGGGTGTGGCCTATTATGCTAATGAGTTCCTGCTGGGCTTTTTCTACAAAAAAAATCCCTGTACAAACCTTACGTCTGCCTTCACTCTTACATTAGTTTTATGCCAGCTCAACGAGCACACAGATCCTGCACACAGATTTGGTCGAATCTGCATTTGCATTTTTAAATTCGTTTCGTGCTTCTGTGACGCCATCTTTTCTCTGTGCTTGTTCGAATGTCGTTTGGAGAAGATTCATTTAAAGCGGTGCGGAGGCGCAATTACAGTGGAGCCGCCACGAGAGGGCGATAAACGTATGCAGACATGCAAGAGTATACTTGCACAGTATGAAAACGAAAGCAAATGTAGATGGTTTTTTCGAAGACAGAGTCAGTGGGAAAGACAAATGCAGATTCGACCAAAGAACCATGGGAACTGCACTTCAGTGTGGATGCCGAGAATAAGAACATAAGAACATAAGAGAAGCCAGTGTTGGATCAGGCCAATGGCCCATCCAGTCCAACACTCTGTGTCACACAGTGGCCAGAAATACCAGGTGCCCCCAGGAGGTCCAGCAGTGGGGCCAGAACTCCAGAAGCCCTCCCACTGTGGCCCCCCAAGCACCAAGAAGACAGAGCATCCCTGCCCCAGACATAAGAACAGAAGAGAAGCCATGTTGGATCAGGCCAATGGCCCATCCAGTCCAACACTCGGTGTCACACAGTGGCCAAAAATACCAGGTGCCCTCAGGAGGTCCAGCAGTGGGGCCAGGGCACTAGAAGCCCTCCCACTGTTGCCTCCCCCAAGCACCAAGAATACAGAGCATCACCTGCCCCAGCCTGTGAGTTCCTATCTATACCCTTTGGCTAATAGCCACTGATGGACCTCTACTCCATATGTTTATCCAGTTCCCTCTTGAAGCTGTCCATGCCTGTAGTCGCCGCCACCTCCTGTGGCAGTGAATTCCATGTGTTAATCACTCTTTGGGTGAAGAAGGACTTCCTTTTATCTGTTCCAACCCGACCGCGAGTTCTTGTATTGTGAGAAAGGGAGAAAAGTACTTCTTTCTCAATCTGCTCTGTTGCATGCATAATCTTATAGACCTCGATCATGTCACCCCTCAGCCGTCGTTTCTCCAAGCTAAAGAGCCCCAAGCGCTTTAACCTTTCTTCATAGGGAAAGTGTCCCAACCCTTTTATCATCCTAGTTGCCCTTTTCTGCACTTTTCCCAGTGCTATAATATCCTTTCTGAGGTGTGGTGACCAGAACTGTACACAGCACTCCAAATGAGGACACACCATCGATTTATACAGGGGCATGATGATACTGGCTGATTTGTTTTCGATTCCCTTCCTAATAATCCCCAGCATAGCATTGGCCTTCTTTATTGCAGTCGCACACTGTCCTATATGATTCCTGTCCCCCTTCTCCACTGCCCGGGAACTACATATCACAAGATTTCTTGGGGGAAAGTAACGGTAGCTAAAGCAGGCGACCTGAAGTGCAGAGATGTTTTAAGATAACAACTGAAGAGCG